ACACCCTTATAAAGTATGTTTCGTTCCCCTCTCCAACCGATGTGGGATCTCACATTTCACTCCTATTCAGGGCCTAGCGTCCTCGTTGGCATTCGTTCCTTTCTTCATGGCCCAGTGTTCGGGTCTGATACCATTTGTAATAGCTCAAGCCCACTGCTAGTAGAGATTGTCCTCTTTGGACTTTCCCTTTCGGGCTTCCCCTCAAGATTTTTAAAATGTGTCTGATAAGGAGAGGTTTCCACACACTTATAAAGTATGTTTCGTTCCTCTCTCCAACCGATGTGGGATCTCACGTTCCACCCCCATTTGGGGCCTAGCGTCCTCGTTAATATTCATTCCATTCTCCTTTGCTCAGCGTCCTTGCTGGCACACTGCCTAGTGTCCGGCTTTGATACCATTTGTAATAGCCCAAGCCCACACTGCTAGTAGATATTGTCCTCTTTGGACTTTCCCTTTCGAGCTTCCCCTCAAGATTTTTAAAACGTGTCTGATAAGGAGAGGTTTCCACACCCTCATAAAGTATGTTTTGTTCCCTTCTCCAACCGATGTGGGATCTCACATTCCACCCCTATTTGGGGCCTAGCGTCCTCGTTAGCATTCGTTCCCTTCTCCGTGGCCTAGCGTCTTTGCTGGCACATTGCCCAGTGTCCGACTCTAATGTCATTTGTAACAGCCTAAGCCCACTGCTAGTAGATATTGTCCTCTTTGGACTTTCCCTTTCGGGCTTTCTCTCAAAGTTTTTAAAACATGTCTTCTAGGAAAATGTTTTCACACTCTTATAAAGAATGTTTTTCCTCACTCCAATCGATACAATCGATACAGTTAGTTTATATAGTGCTTTTTGAAGTTAACTTTTATCGAACTTAGTAAAAGAAAAATAATAGTTCCATTCAAGAAAAGGCACAATGTGATTGATTATCTTTCCAAAATTTCTCTAGTTGATCATTGATTTGTATTTGTATCATACCTTGACACAGAATGATAAAAAAGAGTATGTCAATGTGTTCGTGGACCATCTCGTATCGTGGAATGCAGCGATGGGGCGTATGGCTCGGGCAGAGTGCTTCGTGAATTTAGGCGAACCGAAGATCCCTGTAGCTTAATGACATTCATTGATACTAGAGGTACTTGCAAACGATCCAATGAAGCGACCGGGGAAATCTCGAAGCCTTGTGTTTTTCTTTCATCAAATCGGGTTGTAGGTTTGACAAGTTTTGTTCTCTACATAAGATTTCCGTCATGATTTTGTAGTAACATGAAGAATAGCTTCCTTAGAAATGTATAGGAATCTTCGAACATGTCATTTTCGTAATATAAGCGTTTTTTTTCATATATATTAAATAACGTCTTAAGATCTAACTTATATGTGTTGGATAAATAGTTCGCATCTTCGTATCCAACCGTCATCATTATCATAGGTTTTTGTTTTAATGTATCAACTTTCTAAGTGCTTATTTTCTTAATAAAACAACTTTTATAGAGTTTCGTGATGTATAAAAAAAGACCAAAATACCCTCACACCACTATTTCCCACCTCGACAACCACTGTGCACCCTCCACCAACGACCACATCTAGCAATTGTCGTTGATGACTATATCTAGTGACTAACAATTTTCGAAGACCATTTCTAGTGATCCCTCCAACTATGGTTGACCGATCATAATATCTCAAATATAATTTCAAACTTATATAGCTTTCATAGTCGTCCTTTATGGTAATTTGACATAAGTATAAGTGATCACGTAAATAGCCACCAAAGTCACTAAAAGTGGATAATTATAAATGACTTTATGGTAATTACACAATATGTGATCAGGTAATTAGTTACCAAGGCCATACGAAGTGGGTGATCGTAAATGACGTTATAGTAACTATAAGTTGTGCGACTAGGTAATTTGCCACCAAGGTCACCCTAGAGGGTGAGCCTTTGTCCTATTGTCTGGTTCTAGAAAATGAATCAGTGTATTGTTTTTTGTCATGATGAATGGTCCATAATTGTTTAGAATTGGCTCCAACATACACGTTGGAACCTAATAATTCAATAAGGTCGTGTGACACCAACGATTAAAATGAGATTAAAAAAAATTGAGACAAAAATATATTAATAAGTCAACAAGTGAGCTATTTACTGAGTATTATTATACTCATTCCTGCTATTTTTTTATTTTTTTTGGTTGACAAGTGCATATTTGAGACGGATACGAGCCTAGTATAGTTTATAAAATTCATAGATTATATATATATATATATATATTTATTTTGTAAGCCAAAAATGATTGAAACTTCCCAATCATATGGGACAAAATTTTGATTCTTTATGGGCATATCCTTCACCCAATCCTCTTGAAGCATTGGAATATTCCATTAGAATATATTTTCATATATTCCAAAAACATTAATTTTTTAAAAGAAAAAAGTATTATATATATTATTTTTAAAAATACATATAAATAAAAGTAAAAAAAGTAATAACAAATTTTATTACTCTTTAATTTAAGCTTAGTTAATTTATAAAATAGATAAAAATTTATTATACATCTCGGTCTCAAAACGAAAGTTCTTTTTGCCTTTCTTAAGATAGCGTAGAAAGTCCTTTAGGGTGCAATATGTTCGCATCCCCGAACTCAACATTGAAGTGATCTCGTGCAAGGTCATTATGTTGTCAAGGTGCTATTAGTGCTAGCTGACACCGACAGTGAAGAAAAAACAATTGAACCATAGAAATGAAAGAACAGGTTATTCGTAATCATTACAAGACGAGTTAGCCTCCCAAACCGGATAAGTCAATCTATTTTGTTTTTAAGTCTCTAAATTCCTTGTATTTGCTCGGGTTTGTAGTTAGATTAGGAGATATATTTATAATTAATAAAATCAATTTTAAATATAGTGGAGTATCAATAAATTAAAATAATTATTTTTATTGAAAGTATATTTTGCTTAAATTATATGCCTAAACACATTTAATTATTTTATAAGTTTGCAAAATTTCCAAATTTACCCTCATTTATGGCTGTAGAAAGTGGTGAGGTGCATGCCTATCCTCGTAATTTTATTATAATTATTTAAATAAAAACAAATTGATTACCTTATTAAAAGTTATTTGAATACTAAACATAACCTTATTTTCTTTTAATATAAACCAATGCTTAAATCCTTTCGTCGAGGTGGTAGCGTTTTCTTTGCTGGGTTAGATTTGTGATCCTAGATAAGATTGGTTCCTCCCGAAACCTCCCAGTAACCCGCTCTCAAAATACATTATACTCCTAATGTCTTAGGACATCCCGATAGTTATATACTTGTTAATCCAAATACAGTCGGTTCCGATGCCACACCATCAGCTGATACCTTTCAAAGAACTTTCTTAATAACATGACTCGTTAACATATCAATTTTTTTTTTTAAAGTATTATAATTTCGACAAAAACAAAAGTCAAAAGTTTGAAGTCGGAGAAAAATAAAACATTATAGTTGAGACAAGGAGATGTGTGACAAATAAGACAATATCCTAATGTTTACTTTTATTCAACGCTCCACAAGGGGTTCGTCCAGTTTGGCAAGTTTGTCGTGTTTTCCATTGTCCTTGTTGTGGTTCGTTTTATTTCTATATGCACTTCGATGATTCAAGTCGTATGTCTTTTGTTTAGCTTATTTTCTAATAGGAGTGAGAGACAAACCCCTCTAAACACCCTAAAAGTGGATTGAATCTATTGTATGAGATCCTCGGGACATGGCTCGGGAAGCCTATACGTCTTTTGTTTAGCTTATTTTCTAATAGGAGTGAGAGACAAACCCCTCTAAACACCCTAAAAGTGGATTGAATCTATTGTATGAGATCCTCGGGACATGGCTCGGGAAGCCTATCCCTATTGTTAGACGAACACGACTCTCCACAATGGTATGATATTGTCCACTTTGAGCATAAGCTCTAGTATTCCTCACTTATAAATCCATGATCATTCCCTAAATTAGCCGATGTGGGACTTTCATCATCCAACACCTCCCCTCGAACAAAGCACGCCTCCCCTTAATCGAGGCTCGACTCCTTTGGAGTCTTAGTCATTTTTGACTGCCTTCGTACCTTCGAGAAGACTTGACTCCTCTTGAAGTCCTTTGTTCGACATTTAAGGATTTGCCAATCTATTGGCACGGCTAAGTTTAGGGCATTGCTCTGATACCATGTTAGACGAACACGACTCTCCACAATGGTATGATATTGTCCACTTTGAGCATAAGCTCTCATGGCTTTGCTTTGGGCTTCCCAAAAGGCCTCATACCAATGAAGTTAGTATTCCTCACTTATAAACCCATGATCATTCCCTAAATTAGCCGATGTGGGACTTTCATCATCCAACACCTCCCCTCGAACAAAGCACGCCTCCCCTTAATCGAGGCTCGACTCCTTTGGAGTCTTAGTCATTTTTGACTGCCTTCGTACCTTCGAGAAGACTTGACTCCTCTTGAAGTCCTTTGTTCGACATTTAAGGATTTGCCAATCTATTGGCACGGCTAAGTTTAGGGCATTGCTCTGATACCATGTTAGACGAACACGACTCTCCACAATGGTATGATATTGTCCACTTTGAGCATAAGCTCTCATGGCTTTGCTTTGGGCTTCCCAAAAGGCCTCATACCAATGAAGTTAGTATTCCTCACTTATAAATCCATGATCATTCCCTAAATTAGCCGATGTGGGACTTTCATCATCCAACACCTATCAATCAGAGTCAAGAAATTCAGGAATGTTTCATTTAGCTTTGAAGTTTTTGGACATGAAGGAAATGTTTGCAAGCGGGGCAGCTACTCTATCGTGGGCAAACATGAAACCCGACTCTACGAACCTGTGCATAAATTTTAAAATTACAATATATTTTTCAAATTAAATTAGAAGTTTAATCCTCAGCCAATCTTGGAATAGGATTGGGATTTGAAAAAATAAAATAGATTTTTAAAAAATAAAAAAGAAAATAAATATAAATATTGCGGAATTTTCGTTCCTCAGTGTGCTCGCTTTTCTTCTCTGCCATTCGTTTGTTCGTTCGATTCGTGTTCTTAAACGCATTCAAATTTCAGAAAAAACAAGGAACAAAGCAGTCTTTTGCTTTCGAGATTTCTCTCTCTTTCCTTCTCTCCTTCGACGGTATGTTTTGTTTTTCTTTCTCTCGATGGACCTGCATTTTTCATTCTTCGATTCGATTTCATGTTCTGTGATTGGAGTTTTTGTGTTCTTGTTCCTGTTTGTTTTCTTGTGATTTTGTCTGTTTTGTTCTGATTCCTGGCTTATCCGATGACGAGCGATTTTCTCGTTTTTCCCCTTTCTCGATTGATATTCTGGTGTTTCCCTTTTGGGCGGATTGAAGTCCGATGATAAGATTTGTTCAATGTCGGTTATTTCATCTGATTTTTACAGATTCTGTTGCAATGGATTGAAATCTGTTTGAGGTTGAATTATAGGGTAGTTTGGAGAGACGTGGCCTCCACTACCGATTTTACGACTCGGTATAAGTTTTTAGAGAGGATTGATTTTGGTAATTTAAATTTGTTAGTAGGCCAGGACCAGCGCATTGTGGAAAATTAATATTCTTTCTCCGATTTGACCGTCTGTACTACAGAAAGAGAGGCACCCTGTGATTTTCTACGGAATTATTTGACGAATTAGTATCAAATTTTCTAATGTGAAAACATTAAATTGATTTGTTTGAAGTACGAGGGGTGATTTTCTATTGAATTACTTTATTTATTGAGACCCGTTTCGAAATTCTCATACAGAGTTTGAAAATCAACGGGGATGTTTTTCTCCTGACCAAGTCAGCGTGGGATTATGACTTGTCGTGCGAAACGTGCGTCGTTTATCTGCCATTCTTGTAGGGCTTGAATAGATTCATCTTTTTTGAGTTTGAGGTTAGCGTAGTCGATCCGAATGGTTCTTGCACTGTTTATCAAATCAATTTGTTTACTTAGATTGGAAATTATTGGGTATGTTTGTTGTCTGGTCCACTTTTTCATTCTTCCCAACATTTGTTATGGACGGCAACGCATAAGTTACAAATCCTTATCAATGGTCTCTTCTCACTTGGTTCTTTGGCTGGAGTCACAACACGTGGCGTCAACTAATTCTTTTTCCTTTTTCTCTTTTTGGGGATGTTCCCAATTCCTAGTTTAAAGATGTAATGCAATTTAATCGTAACACTTGGAGACGTTCTTTTTCCTGTTTCAGGAACGTGCGTGGGTGGGAACGGGAAGAGGGCTTGACCAAACCCACCATTTTCAAGGAAACTTCTTGGACGGTTTAGTTTGAGGATAAACATAAGATCCGGCTGTCAAAGTAGGTGACAGCCTGATTTTCTTGAACAGTTTCAAAGATCTATTCGAAGATCCTTTTTCTTGTGCGTATGACCAAACTTTGATACTTGGACCTTCCTTTTTATATGTGCATCTTGTTTACTCATTAACGCGTTCAGTTTTTTATTTCTTGGTACAGCAGGTGATCTCATAGAAAGGTCTCGCTTTCTGGGTCGTCTACATCTTAGATTGCTTGCTCGACCGTTGGTTTTTGCTTAATGTTCTTTCAGAGTTATCTTCGATTGGCATGAGATATTTTGATTTGTGTTTTAGATATGGGTTCCTTGTCCGGAATCCTTCAACGACCATTCATTGCTGTAACTGCTGTCGCCGTTGCTTCTATTTCCTCTGACTTTTCAGACAAGATACCATCTCAGAGACCAACAGAGGCTACTTCTTCTTCTTCTTTTTCAGATTTATCCCATAATTCAACTTTAGATTTCTTGAAGGAATCAAGGACATCATTTGCTTTTGTTTCAAAGCTTGAAAACTTATCATTTGTCACCAAAATTCATGCACCTGTCCTTAAGTTTAGCTTTCCGATTCCAACTACCAGTTGCGACTATGTTAGAAACTTGCACGCGTCTTTGGTGTCTTCCACCGTTCTTTCTAATTTATATCAGTCAGCTGCATTGACCAAGGCATCAAAACAGATTGCACCTTCACCTAAATTTTCTTCCCCACCTTCTGAGGTTATGTACAGATGGCATTTACCAGAGCCAACTTCTTTAGATATTAGGGGTAGTTCTGCTTGTTCCGTGGCAAAATCTAGGACGGTGGTGGTTTTATTAGGATGGTTGGGAGCAAAGCAGAAACATTTAAAGAGATACGCCGAATGGTATACTTCAAGGGGTTTTCATGCCATTACCTTTACTTTTCCAATGACTGAGATACTCACGTATCAGCTTGATGGGAAAGTTGAACAGCACATTGGCTTGCTTGTGAATCATCTTGCTGATTGGTTGGAAGAGGAGCACGGAAAGAACCTGGTGTTTCACACTTTTAGCAATACTGGATGGTTAACGTACGTTATTTTTTCCCTCTTCATTTAACGTGCACACAGAATGATAGCACCTTTGGCTTTTCTTGAACAAATTTCTTTATGTGATTGTTCCTTTGGATTTATCTCGATGCAGTTATGGAGCTATTCTGGAGAAGTTTCAGAAGCATGATTCTTCTGTAATGGGAAGGATTAAGGGCTGCATTGTGGATTCTGCCCCTGTTGCAGCTCCTGACCCTCAGGTAATGGCGGCCTTGATATGACACTATTGTTCTTTGTCAATGGGCTGTTACTATTGCATAATTTTGACCCCAGTTCCCTTTCTTTTCATTCAAAAATTTGTAGCTTGCCGCTACACGCACCACAATAAGTAACCTTGAAATATGAAGCTTTCTTTGATCATGGGATGACCATCGACCTATCCCAAACTTAGTCACCATCGCCATCAACCTATCCCAAACTTTGTCACCATCGCCATCAACCTATCATAGAATTATATACAAAAAAACTAGAGTAGCCATTTTTACCTTGCATATCCTCTATATATCAAGTTATAGATAAGGATAAATTTTTGTTTGTTCAACTCCTTATTTTCTCTATGAATTTAAAGTTAAGAATACCTGTTTGTTGGTCATTTAGATTTTTACCGCCTCTTTTATTTAGAATTGTAAGTCGTCTCTGTGTTTCTATTTGAGTTTCCTGTTGAAGAAATTATGAGAGGGAAGTGTTTGTTAAATTTTGTTAATGCTTTTGTAGGTCTGGGCATCAGGCTTCTCTGCAGCCTTTTTGAAAAAGAACAGTGTAGCAACAAAAGGATTGACAACCTTGGACAGCACAGGGATGGAAGTACCAATGAGCAGTAAAGAAGATATCGTACCTAAACCTGCAGTTACTGAAGCAGCACTTCTATTAGTTTTGGAGAAGATTTTTGATGTTGTTTTGAAACTACCGACCGTGAACAGGTAGTTCCCCTTTTAAAAGTGATCATTATAACCAATATATACTAAATATATTAAACAAATGCAAGAAAATGAATCAGTAGACTGTACATAAGTGTGAGATCCCACGTTGATTGGAGAGAAGAACGAGGGCCAGCGAGAACGTTGGGCCTCGAAAGGAAGTGTGGATTTTGAGATCTCATATCAGTTGGCGAGGGGAATGACATTTCTTATAAGGGGTGGAAACCTCTCCCTATTAGACACGTTTTAAAACCTTGAGGGGAAAGCCTAGAAACAACAATATCAAATAGCGGTGGGCTTGGGCGGTCACAATAAGCATGATAGTTTCATTTCCTTTTACAAATATACCTTTGCTCAACTATGTTTAGATTTTTTGTACTTCATTAACCAACCAGATCACGAAATCTAAAAGACAAAAGTTGTCCTGTTTTTCTACCAGGAGGCTATCTGACGTGTTGGACACATTATCATCGTCACAACCAAGCTGCCCTCAACTGTATATCTACAGCTCAGCGGATCGAGTTATCCCAGCCGATTCTGTGGAATCATTTATCAAAGAGCAACGGCAAGCAGGACGAGAGGTTAGAGCTTGCAATTTTGTGTCCACCCCTCATGTAGATCATTTTAGGAATGACCCAAAACTATATACTTCTCAGCTTAGTCAGTTTCTAGCAGACTGTGTGCTTACTTCTTGTAGAGAGTCCCGTTAGCTCAAATTTGAGTTGGTCGCTCACCATTTTACCCGATTCTTTTCTTCTTCTTATACAACATTGTTCGTTCTTGTATACATGTGAGAGCAAGCAAAAAGCCAACAATTCATTAGTTTTCAATATAGATCACTGTTCAATTGTATTTATGTGGTGTTGATCATTCTTGACTTATGCTGGTGTGCTAGAACAAGAACATGAGTGTGTATAAGATGAACAAGATAGGACGAAGTTAGTATAAAACTTTACATAACAACGAAATGTAGTAGAGTAGAGTTAATTTGGAAGCAAACACCGAACCTATACATAACATATCAACTTATATTGACACTAGTTGAATTTGTACAAATTGGATCTTATCTATCTATCTAGTCTTCCTTAGCTCCAATAATTAAATTAAATATGAAGCACAAGAAAAAGAAAAGAAAAGAAAACACTTCTACTAAACACATTTCCCCCAAGTCCCAAACTTATAACTAGCAGTTAATCTTCCACTCCTGTTGAAGAAATCTGAATGTTTTTTGGAAATTCTGAAATCCCATGAACCAGAAATCAAAATTATCCACTGTTACAATCTCTAAGTACTTCTGTGAAGGTTTCATCACATTCTTACTTTGATTCACTCTCTCTATTCTCCCCACTGGAATCATCACCTGCATTGCATCACAGAGAGTTCAGTAAAACACGATATAGGTCGAGCGAAATCTTAACAAGGGACAAAAAACATTCGAATTTGGCAAAAGTAGAGAAAAATCTTTGGAATCATAACATTCTTTAGCTTAGTTGTGTTTAAGAGAGAGAGGTGACCTTGTAATGAAATTTTAGGAGCTCTCCAGTTGGGGAAGAGAGTTTGAGGGATTTGTTACTGCAAAAGGCAAGTTTGTGCGTTGATATGAAGAGAAGACCTGAAAGAGGTCCTGCTGTGGTTGACAAATGGCATTGACAAACCTTCAATAGCTTCTCTCCTTCTTTTAAACTAAATAGCTGCTTTCCTTTCCTCAATCCACCAACTTGAAGAATCTTTGCTCCCAAACTCAACTTTCCCTTCACTGTTTCTCTGATCTTTTGTCCTAATCTCACTGCAGCTGCACAAACCAAACCATACCGACATAAGTTCATGGTCTCGAGCAATCATATTTGAACTGTTTAATGAGACGTCGAAATGTCTTAGTTATAGGCCTTATAGATTTATTGCTCGTAGTCTGCCTATGCTCTCAATCAAAAGGTTTGAGATTCAAACCCTTTATCCTACATCTAGTTAAATGAAGAATAATAAGAGTTGCCCGTCTACGAAAGATCAAAAAATGCATTCAAATTCAGTGTTCTTTTACATGCGTGGATCACTTCATAATTATGCTCGTATAAGAAGATTTGTTGCTATGAATGATTACTGTTATGACAACAAGCTTCTCCATTATAACCATAACGCTATCAGATCGTCCACTTTAGACTTTAGCCTATTGTATAACTGTGGAATCCTCCATCAGTTGAGGAGGAAAACGTTTTTTACAAGGGTGTGGAAACCTCTCTCTAGCAGAGGTGTTTTAAAAACCTCGAGGGGAAACTCGAAAGGAAAAGCTCAAAGACACATTTTAACAATATTTGCTAGCGGTCGGCTTAGGCTGTTACGATAATGCAATCCCGAAAATGCATCACTTTAATATAGAGGTTATTCTCGGTCATATACTCGATATCACCGATATGAGACTATCTTCGTATCACAGAGGTATGAATTTTCTAAATGGATTCTATTCACTCATTGAAGCAAAAACAAACAAACAAAAAGCTTACCATGTTGTCTAACTCCATCGACAAAACTCCCAACCTTCTTCCCCCTGCTAACAACTGCATCCTCTCTACCTGCAAACATTCACAAAATCCTCTAAATTCAGCCACCATTTTCTCTCTACAAACACATGAACACCTTGAAAAAAGCCAGAAGTTTTACATTGTTTCGCCCGAGGTTCACCGTCGGGGGACTGGTTACCGACCGGAGCAGGGAACAATCTCTTCAACGACTTCTCAGCTGGCCGAAAAGCTGCCATACCAAACGGGATCCCAACGACGTCTTGCTTCATCAAAGCTTCCATTTTCCTCTGCTTCTACTTGTTAGTATCTGAGGTAAAAACAGAGGAAAGATTGGTGTGGATGATCAACATTCCTCCAATTCTCCACAGATATATAGAGGGACTGAAAATGGTGAATCTGAAACTTAAAAGCTAACAGCTGAGTCATCCATGGCTGTCCTCCAAGATTATTAAAAGAACGGATCTCTGTAAAAGAGGGAGTTTTAAAGAAAAAGGATCATAAAAGGAGAGGAGATGATGTTGAGGAAAGCATAGTGGAGTTGCCTTTAGCAAAACCCTTAAAATGGAGGCTTTCTTAATAAGAGGGTTTCTTGTTGTGCAAGCATGTATGCATTTACAATCTTTTTTTTTTTCTTTTTTCTTTTTTGAAGGGATTGTATTTATATGTTTGTGTAATTTGGGATCTTCATTTATTTATTATTTATTATATGTTTTAGGTCCAATGTACAAACAACTCGCTTAATTTATCGAGCACTTTAGAGATAAATTTTTTAATTTTTCGTATATAGAGTTTTATTTCCAAGCTAATTGCCCTTCAATTTTGAGATGTAACAATGCTTGCATGTCAAAGTACTCGCTTATTCATTTAATGAGCAAGTTGTTGGTTCAATGAATCTAGTCATTGTATCCAGCTCGTCTTCATCCATACATACTCTATTCATAAGGGTTTTACAAAGTAAAATTGATTGAGAATGTTTAGTACATTCTATTTTCAAAGTTACTAACTTGAGTCATTTTGATGCAGGTGATGATTTTTCTGATTCGATGATGTTTTATATGTTTCGCGTTTTTTAATTATTTCAAAATATCTCACTAAAGCAATGCATCAAAAGCTATCATGAAAAAGGATCAAATATAATATTTCAGGTTGTGAATGTTTGATTAATCCACCACACCTAAGTGGTGTGAAAGTTATCTTATTTATAATCAAATGAATTATAAGGATATGGAAATAGTAATAAATGGAAATAACAATAAATAGAAAGATACGATAATAAGGCAAATATCTAATATTTGCTTTATAATAAAATATCAAATATAATATATATGGTAAACAATAATTTATTACTAAATATTCTTAACACCGTTCTCCATTATACAAAAATTTTTGAATGGCAACTTTCTCAATATTTATATTATAATTTATATTTAACAAAATTAGAATTTAGCATGATTTTAAAATAATAAAATTAATAACAAAAACCCTGAAAAGTATTAAAGTTATAAAGGCAAAATTATAAAATATTTTAGATTTAGTAAACTCTTAGATGCAAAATCTCTTAAAAAATATTGGAAAAACTAAAGAAAGGTAGAATGCTAACTCTTCTCCTTTTTCTACCGATAATAGAAAACGATGATTGTATTACGAGAACATAGTTCAACTAGTCATGATATTGTATTCTAAATCTAAATGTTCGAGGTTCGATTTTTTGCTCTATAGTGTTGTGGAACTAAAAATGAGATCAATTCGTAGCAATATTGTTTAAAGTGGAATTCTCTATCGAATCAGTTGAGTTTGTATTGTCATACGTCTCGACATTGGCTAAATCAAGAGATCTTATTTTCTCTTTCACGAAAATGAAAACGAATCTAATAGATTCAAGAAAACCAAATGTTTTAAAGAAGTCGCATTATCTTGATCAGCGAACGTATGTAGCTCGCCTCTTGTGAAAAAAAAGTCTCCTCTTAGTCCATTAAAAAAAAAAAAGAAAAAAAATGGTAAACCAAAATATATATATTAGATCAAAACATGTGATTTTATTTTAAAAAATTAATTTATTTTTTTAAATAAACGAGGAATAGAGAGTTCATATAATCTTTAGTTTCTTAATTTTTTTAATTCATATTTAATAGGACATTAATGTATTCGACAATTTTTAAAATTTACAGTCTATTTAACATAAATTCCAAAGATCGAGAATCTGTTGTATATTTTGAAAGTTTAGAGATTTATTAGACACAAAATTGACACAAAATTGAAAGGTCAAATACTTATTATATACTTTTTTAAGTTTTTGAACACAAACTTAAAAGTTTAAAAATTAAACTTATAACTTAACCTAACTAGTTTTAGATTATTAACGAGATGGGTTGAGCTAGCTAATCAGCTCGTAATTTCTTCTCTCTCTATTCTTCACTTGGGAGAAGGGAGAAGCATGGCGAAATTGAAAGGAGAAAAGTCGTGCAAGATATAACAAGTAGACAACAAGATTGTGGTTTTTTTCGCATGACTTCAGTTGCAATGAGAGAGAGTTCAACAACTCCAAAAATCTCGTCCAACAAGAGATGAAATTCACGAAAGAATTCGAACAAGTCCTATACCCGATTATTCGAAGACCTTCCCTGTTTCGTCTGACCGGAAGCCCTATCGATGACTTGTCCCTTTGAATGTTACAAAATCTGAGAAAACAACGCTCAAATAATGCTCAAATCTAACACACATAATGGTTGTTCCTTTGATTTCTCAAATTTGGTAAAACTTCAAAAAGAAAAGTTGTTTGTTCCTTAAAGTAAACTCTACCACTTGAAACATAAAGAGAGAGGGTTTATGAGAAACATATGACATTACATTGCTCATCTTTTCCCACTTTGGAGGCTGTGTTGGGCAGCTCAGCTAGCTTTGTTGCAATGCCACCATGTTCCTTTGTCTCTGTTGGAGGGGAAAAGATTTAATAAGTTGCAGCTGTAACCCATTAGATCAACCCAATTAATCACTTCCTTGTGTGTTATGTTTTACGCCCTTTTCATCTTTCATTTTCCGACCACTTTTTGACTCCACCATTATCTCTCGCATGCTCAAATGATACGTTGTTAGATCGGATTTCCCCTCAAAAGTTTTAAATTTACTCTTGAAGTATCCAACATCACTTCAGTTATATTTGAAAAGATTATCTTTTCTCATACGTGTTAAGGAGGGAGCGAACTTAGTTGGAAGGCATTCTAGCTTCAAAAGCAAGTGAGATTTGATCGATGTGGCCTCGGGTTGTAGATCAAGTGGACATGGAATTGCGCATAACAACTGCAATGGATGCCCCACCTTTATATCTCTTCCACCTCACTACTCAATAAAAGAAGAATGGACTCTGAAATACTCCTCTCGACTCTTACAGTCTTTTCTTTACTTCCTCTTATCAGTATGATTCGAGCATTCAAGCTAGTAGATCAAATCGTGGGTTCTCATCCTCAATATTGAGAGAGGCTAGTAAGCCGGCTAGTTGAAATGTAGTAATGTCGGGTGGGTCTTTTTTTTACTTCGATAAAATTTGAAGTTTTGTTCGTAACATTCGAATAAACTATCTAATTTTGACAAGTTAGAGGTGTTTGTGGAATGACTCCAAATATTAAAGTTAGGATAATCTATAAGAGGGAATGTGTTAGGAAGTTGGAGGAGAATTAACAATCTTATACAAACCTAAAATATGAACTTATGTGAGATTCCACATCGGCGATACGTAACAAGTTAAAGTTGATAGTATCTGCTAGCGGTGGATTTAGGCCGTTACAAATAATATCAGAACCAATCATTAGACAATGTGCCAGTGAGAACGCTAGGTCTCTTTGAACTAGCTGTTGGTCGAAATTTCAAGTGACAAAAACAATCATTTGCATTTCCATGCCCAAATAGACATCCAAAGTTTAAAACTAAGACCAAGTTGAGCCTCTTTCTAATCTTATTTCACAACTAAACCAATCATTCATAAACAGAATTTGTACAATTGAGTAAATTGTATAGTGAACTTTTCCTCCCAGTTCAAACGGTGGAGGAGACGAAGAACATTTCTGCTGCAATCTCTTCCAAGCATTTAGCAGTTCTTGCATTCTAAAGGGATCAAATTTTGAAGATATTGAAGAGTTTTGTGATAATTTAAGAACCCCATGAACCAGAAGTCAAAATTATCAACTGTAACTATTTCTATGTACTTCTGTGAAGGCTTCTTCACATTCTCACTCTCATTGATTCTCTCTATTTTTCCTACTGGAATCACTACCTGCAGAACACAAACATTTCTTTTGAGATTTAGCGCAGAGAAAGAGAGAAAGAAAGAAGACGAAGACAACACTGACGACGATGACGAAGAACAAGAAAGCAACCATACCTTGTAATGGAATCGAATTAGCTCTCCTGAGGAGGAAGAAACTTTGATGGATCTGTCACTGCAGAAGGAAATCCTATCTGTGGATATGAAGAGCAGACCTGCAATGGGTCCAGCTGTGGTTGACAGATAGCATTGGGCAGCCTTCAACAATTTCTCGCTATCTCCATCAATAAACAATTGCTTGTATATTTTTCTCAAACCACCTACTTGAAGAATTCTAGCTCCTAAGCTCAACTTTCCCTTAACAATTTCTGAGATGTTGGATCCCAATCTCACTGCAGTTCAATAAACAGGAAAGTTTCTATCAAATTTCCATTCCAAATAGCTCACTTGGATGTTGTAATAAATAAACAAAAGAAAAACTTAGTTATCATCTCAATTCTCATCCACCCACCGCTAGCAGATATTGTCCTCTTTGAACTTTCCCTAAAGGTTTTTAAAACGAGTCTGCTAGGGAGAGGTTTCCACATTTTTATAATGAATGTTTCGTTCTCCTGTCCAACCGACGTGGGATCTCACAATCCACCTCCATTGAGGGCCGAGCGTCCTCGATAGCACACCGCTCGATGTCTGGCTCTGATATCATTTGTAACAGCTCAAGTCCACTGCTAGCCGATATTGTCCTCTTTGGGCTTTCCCTTTCAGGTTTCACCTCAAGGTTTTTAAAACACGTCTACTGGGGAGAGGTTTCCACACTCTTATAAAGAATGTTTCGTTCCCCTCTCCAACCAATGTGGGATCTCACATTAGCACCGTATCAAAGCATTTGACACTCTTAATAAGAAACTAATAAAGTAGAACAATGAACTCACCATGTTCTCGGACTCCATGTGCAAACTTGTCTGCTCTTTTTCCAAGCTTATTCACCCTGCTAAGCACAGAATTTTTACTACCTGCAAAATGAAGATTATTCTCAATCCAAAAGTCCATTTCTTGCTCATCATTCATTTGTCAAACCAAGAGTAGGGGGGATTTCTTACATTGTTTTGATGGATATTTATCATCTGAGGGGGGAATGTTGTACTGGCCAGCAAGATCAGGTAAGAGTCTTTTAACCGATTGCTCGACCTGCAATGCTGCTGAGCCAAGTGGAAATCCAATAACATGTCTCTGCAGTGAAGCTTCCATATTCGAATATTGATAAAGAAAACTCCGCAATACAGAATGCTCTTTCTT